TCTGTCTGTCTGTCTGTCTGTCTGTCTGTCTGTCTGTCTGTCTGTCTGTCTGTCTTTTTCTCACTATCTCTGTTTATCGTTATTACCTTTTTGTGTTTCAGCCCCTGTCTTTGTCTATCTCTGACCCACTCGCCACCCACTTCACCCTCACATCACCCCCCTCCCCTCCCCTCATTCCTTTCCTCTTTATTCCTCATCCCCCCCCTCCAACCTCTCTCTCTCTCTCTGACTAATAAACACATACACGGTGTCCTCGTCCGTTCTGAATCCCTTTATTATTATATCTCTCGTAAGAAATGTAAACGCGTTTTTCGGCGACTATCTCCCAAGAAGAGGGCGCTAGAGTACCCGGTCTCGGGGCTATTACAAAACAAACGCTTACGAGACAATACAAGTCCCGGCGGCAAGATAAAAGCCAGATCGCGATGTATATGATGCGGGGATATCGACAGCGACATCGATACGACACGACTGACCGACAAGATAACAGATACCGTTAGCGTTTAGATCTCTTTCTTCATGCCGCAAAGGGCGAGAAAGCTGTGTCTCATCAGGGTCTGTTCAGTTGGAGATCCGTCGAACTTTCTTTAAAATATTGAGGATTCTATTGGAACGAAAGAATATGTCTGTTTAACTAAACGAGAAACAACAACGAAGAAAAATTCACAATTTAATTGAAACGTTATCATAATCTAAGAGTATTTCCAACTATTTTTATAACAGAAAACTTCTCGCATTTGGCGTAAACACCAACGTGTTGTTAAGAGAGGCAACTGAATTATGTCAAAGTGACGTTTCGGGAAAACAGGACCTGGTAATGCTGTTTTAGTGCCGGCCATCATATAGGGTCCACCTGTATCTGACACGATTATTTGGATGTTTTAGATCTACTATAAGTGTCGCTTTTAGCAGTTGTAGCGCTAGATCTACTTCTCACGACAAGGGCAATGATACGATCCGATGAGGATACTGTGTACTTCATTGAACAGCATGGTGAGTGGGAGAACTATTGTACCGTGTTTGGCCTGTTGGTATAGTGAGGGGGGGGGAGAGAGAGAGAGAGAGAGAGAGAGAGA